TGAAACGGGAATGTTGCACACTGGAATCCCCACTGTCAGGGACCTCATAATCTTGAAGCTCTATCTCTTCATCACAGATAGAACTCCAGAATTCAATTGCTTGAAGGGCAACAGCCTCCTCATCTTCTTTAACTGCTTTAGCTGTCAACTGGAAGAGAGCCTGCATGTAAGGTTCAAGCAACTCATAATACGTTGATGCTATAGAAACAAGACACTCAAAAGCAGCCTGCCTTAACTGTCCCTCCTTTGCTGTGGCTGCCTCACAGATGACCTTCATAATATAATTTCTCTCCATCTCATTGTCAAAGTTTGTCTGAGCAAAATCCAGAGCATTATACAAAGCTCGAGTTGCAGCGAGTCTGACTTCAACGCTTTCCTCCTCAACATTCATACCTTGAACAACAGCTGTGAGAACAGAGTTTACTTCATCTTGGACAAGATCATGGTGAGATATCTCCTCACACACATAACCAAGTGTCTCCAAGGTTGCCTGTTTCACGGATGCAGGACTTCCTTGTTGTGTCATGTTAACAAGCAATGAACCAATGAGCTCTGGCCATTGTTTCTGAGGAACTTCAATGGAAGCTATTTTAGCAATCACTTGGGAAGCAGTGTGACTTGCCTCGCGTACAGATGATCCAAGGCAGCTTAGAAGCAAGCTTTTAATTTGAGACTTGCAAGATGAATCAATTGTCAGCCACTGTTGAACAAGCTGTTGTTTCCTGACAGTTTCTTTAGCATCCAGTGAGTTTTTAAGCACAATACCAGCTAGCCTACGAGATTCTGTAGGCTTCCCATCATTTGAGAGCTCAACAGCTAGTGAAAGAAAAAACCCTGGAAGGTTTTGCTCTCGGAACTGACTAAGATTAGATTCTGCCTCAGTCCGAATCTTGGCATCTGCTGATTGGGCAGCCAACAAAAACTGAGTGATCTCAACAGCCATGTTGTTCCCTACAAGTTGAACGACATTATGTACTGTAGCAGTTTCTAAAAATACACAAGATATCAAGTAATCAAGTCACACCTTAAAGAAAATTACATGACTCTGTCCATAAAAGCACAGTAGGTGCAAAAAGCAACACTTTAAGATACTCATTCAATTTCATATACAAGGTAACATACTATCATCACAACAATTAAAAGGCTTGAAAATAACAATTCAACCGTCTCTATCACTATAAGTTTTAAAATAAGATAACATCTGGAATCTTAGGGGAAAAAAACGTTTGGATATCAATATCAATCCCAAAAGTTCTCTACGAACTCAAACAAGAAAAAAAAATGCCATAGGAACAGAACTCCTTGCTCAAATTAATCAACAAAAAACAAATCTCATGTTCCAAGTAAACATCGATTGATATAAAACTAACTACATTTATACTTCATACAACAGATAATCAACTTCAAATCCAAAACAAAAACAGCAACGCATACAAAACTGTGCAAAAAAAACACAAAAACGTTGAAATCAAACAGATCTAACTCATAAAGAAAACAAAACCTAGAACAATGAGTTGAAAAAAAAATTACCTTTCAATCAAAAAAAGAAGATAATTTCAACAAGAGCTAGGGTTTTGCCTAGCTCCAGAGAACAAAATCAATCAAACAGTTGTGATTTTTGCTGTTGTTTGTGAAGGTGAATTTGGGGTGGGGGGTGGGGGGTGGGGTATTTTCGAATAGTGTTAAGAAGCGGGATATGGAGGAAGTTTATATATTTGAAGAGTTGAAAAAACCCTACAAATACTGAAGATGACTTTAACCCTAGTGGTTTTTGAAATTCTCACACGTGCCGTACTAATGGCTTATGGCTCATGATAACTAGTTGGGCTTTGTTGAGTTGTACAACTCATGAGTTGGGCTTCATTTCTAAGTTGGGCTTTACTTTTTAGTAAAGGAAATGCATTTGTACTTTTACCAAGCCCAAAAAAGTTATTGAAACATTTTAGACGATCACGACCTTTAGAAAAGATGAAAAAATCACAAATCCTCGACAACTTTTGATTTCCTATTCACCCCAACAATGGAATGGGTACTAAATTCCTGTTTTGAGCGTAAATAAAATTTTTAAATCATAAAATCCAAAACAGAACAATTGTTAATGAATTCATGACGAATCACCAATCTAATAAAAAATAAAATTTCTCCGGGTCCCCCCCTGTTTTCAGCTTCATGCTCTTGAGGTTCACAGGATGCCAACTTTCATTCTTCCCATCAAATTTGTAGGCTTTTACTTGTTTTAATTGAACAAGTTGAGGCTCCTCGTTTTCATCACTCAAATTCTTTATATACAATAACCGATGGATGAGATATATAATCATTTTGAATGATGATGATATGTGGAGTTTCCTAGGACGAAAACACCACAACAAAGCATCCACAAATGTTGGAGGATCGTCTCTTGGCTCTATAATTACATCCAAAACGTCCACTTTTGGGGTAGCAGCAACTCCATAGTGTCGATTCAAATGCTCCATATTGATCTCACCACATCTGTAAATATAAACTGAAACTTGAATGGAAACTTGTGACCAATTTGATAGAAATTTCGAATTTGATAGAAATTCCATCCATCGACAGAACCACTTATTATCCAAAGAGTTCTCCTTGCAATTAAAAATTAAGTTGTTGAATTTGCTTGATACTTTTGCAAGTTTAAGCTGCGGAAGATAGTACCCTGCATACTCGAGTGATACCAAATTTGGAGCATATACTTCAATTTTCTGACGATCATTAATCCGCAAATTATTAATCTTCAGGACCCTCAACGATTCACTTGTGCCAATTTTAAACCTTGTTGAAGAAAAACTACCAGATATCTCTAAAGATTCCAGATTCGGAAACTCAACAATATCCAATTCGTCCAAACAATAACTAAAATAAGATAAGTATTGAAGAGTTGGTGCTTCGATTTCAACACTCTGATTCTTCTCTATCGCAATCTGAAGTGACCTAATGTTTTGAAGATTTCGCACCTCAAACTTTTTCCACCCGGAACAATAGAGAATGATTAAATTGTCGATCAAGGGATAATTATTGACTAGACCTTGTAGCATGTTATCGTCTAAAGTTACACCATCTAGACAAAGCTTTCTCAAAGAAAGACAATTATTCCCCTCATAACTAGTAGGTAATGAAGAAAAATACACCAGATTACAACTCTCCAACACCAATTCCCGTAAATGTGTTGCTGTCAAAATTTTGAAAATATTGAAGGATGAAAAGTATCCTAAATTTCTGTAGACTAGCTCGGTTACACCATTTTGAAGAGCAATGTCAAGCCACTTATCAATCCTAATGAAAATATAACGAGTAGGTTTCCAAATGTCGATGGAAAGTTCAAACTTGTCAATAGGAATTTCCTTATCCCTGTATCTCTTCATAATTTTATCCACTATATCCATGTCAATTTTACCTCTGGTACTACTCCATTCAGCCCTCTCCTCCGCCCCTGAACAAGCTATGAATAACAGGTTGGGCTGAGTCAACCAAGCTTTTAGACATGCTCTGGAGAGAATTATCATCCGTGATGCTTCCATATAATTAACATTAGAGAGTATTTTGTGAATAGCATCTTCAGGCAATATATCAATTGTGGGTTGATTGTGAATAATAGCACCTTCAGGCACTGTATCAGTTGTGGGTTGATGATTTTTCTTCTTCTTATTATTATTATGCAACCATACCTTTAAAACCCGTTTTTTTACGCCGATTCTGCTGCAGAAGTCATTAATCAGCTTTTCATCTACATTCTGCAATTCCCACCCAATTCTTTCCCCGAATTCAAACATTCTTTTGTTATGATAATTGCCTTCTGCTCTCTTCATGGTGTTGCCTGGGAGTTTATAGGTTTTAATTAATTTTTTTTGGTATGTCAAGTTTAAACTATTTATAACCTATTAACAGGAAGTTGCGACTTTTACGAAAAATTGTGATTTTTATGAAGAGTTGCGAAAGTTATGACTTTTATGAAAAGTTATGACTATTATAAAGGGTTGTGATGTTTCCAAAAGCTTTGTGTGACAGTACATTCAAAGAAGATTCATTAGCAGTAGTAAGCCTCTTTAGTAGAGCCAACCAATGTCGTGGATGGATGCTCTTCCAAGGTAACTGAGGGAGCATATAAACATACATTTTATTTATTTTATCATAGTCTGTAATCTGATCACCTTGGATATGATTGTAGTTGCATTCAGGATCAATAATCTTCCTGATAACCCACGTAGCATTCAATAGTCTGCAAATGCATTACATTGAGGCCTCCAACAGCAGGCTATTACATCTCCCGTCGATAAGAAAGTTGTGTCGTAATCCTTTTGGACCTACAAACTTTATAAGTTGAAGCCTAGCTAGTAGTCCAACACTTGAGAAATTTTATCGATCAACAGTACTACTGTGCGTGCACCCCCAAGTATTTGTATTTGTATTTGAAAGGTAATGTGCCCCAGTCATGCAAATTGAACTCTTATTAGTGTTGGCCTGTAGCCAAGAGGCTTTTGTAAAAGCTTCTGCCATAGATTGTACTTCAGCTTTTAACATCAGTGAATAAGCAAATATGCATCACCTTTAACTGTTGGATGCATCACTTTAACATTGCAGGTATTCCAGAGCAATTAAAAAGAGGTGTCTGCCTTATGTACGTACCCATGCATTTACTTGTAAGACAATTATCGACTATATATTTACTAGCTTTCTATCCTAATTCCAGTCCTCCATAACCTTCTATCTAGCTGAAGGTACGTATTATTAAAATTTTGGATCCGCATCTTGTCTTTGTTTGTAAAAAGAAGTCGAAAAGAATAATAACTACAATAAAGTAATACTAATATAAATTGAACTACAAGAATTAACAAATATAGCAACACAATTTATCAAAGTAGTACATACTACTAGTATGGAAGGATAAGTGAGACAACTGATCTCAATTGTCTACTAGCCTTATCCTAATCCGGGTCCTTTATCTAAGATCACATCCTCGATCAGTTGAAGGCACATGCATGCTATTAAAATTTAGGATCCTCATCTAATGCATGCTTGTCTTTATTGCTCCATTGAGGTCTCGAAGCTGCCACTACACTATTCTTCACACAACATGGCTTGGGTTTTATCCTCCATGGAATAAACATGTCAAGCCCACATGATACTGTTGCCTTAGGAGAAAAATTACATTTTCTTCTTCCATTAATTTGCTCATCCTCTTGTAATCTATTCTCCAAGGTAGATGAAATAGCTAGTACCTTTGCATCTTTAAGAAATCTTTGAATGATGAAATTTGGTACTGCTGGCTTATTGGTGGACCAATCATAATTACATTCCTCATGAACAACCAGCTCGTTATTCGATTTTCTATATTCCGTCTCATCATTAGACTCATTCCCTAACGAAAAAACATCTAGAGCATCTGAGTAAACATCATGGTTGTCAACATCATGAACCTCATCGTACGATTTAGTAGTTGTAGTAGTACTACTTGTTGTACCTAATAATTGATCTTTTCTTGTATGCCGCCACATACATGGTGGCAATTTTGGAGGTGGTACAATTTCAATGTTTGTTGTTAACCTCATTTCCTTTGGTTTTCCAGGGCTTTGTTCCCAAGAAAATGGCACTCTATTAAAAATGTCAATGGAAAGTTGATTGGGACAAGATAATGATTTTTCACTAGAACGTCTAGTTGACAAGAGAGGAGCACTAAAATCTAATTTTCTTGGACATTCTTCTTTTTTCTCTTCTTCTACTTGTACTTGTTTTTCCATGGATTTTGAGAGATAATATTGGAATATGTAAGACAAATGGAGAAAATAAGCACTTGTGTGGTTATTTGTGTGATCAGTAAGGTTAAAAAGTTTAGTCATAATTATTAGTAGTTGTAACTATGGGGATTCTCGTGAAGTTTGAAGCTAAAAAAGTGTCAACTTTTATTTGGTCATGTCACAGGTTATTTAAGAGGAGAAACATTTTGATGCCACATGGTTTCTAAATGTACTTTTGTGTTAGTGCCAGAGTATCTTCAAGTATTAATTATTACACATTTTTTGTTGCACTAAAGGAAGATTTTTCGTACAGAAATAGGTTTTTTTTGTAAAAATAATAGTATTAAAATTAATGTATATCACTTGAAAATGTAATACGAAATTGTTATTTAGTGAAGCAGTATGTCAGACAGTACGAAATTTTGGTGTGAATTGTGAAGTATTGTGCTCATGAATAATAAAAGTCTATGTGAATAACAAAAAGAATAATAATATGAATACGCTAGTATGGTATATATGGTATCTCCACAACTAAATTACGGCATATTTAATATAATTTCACAAATATATATATAAAAAAATTGTATATAAATATTTCTTTTACCATGTAAAGGTAAAAACTATTTTGATAGACTCTCCATCCATGTGTAATGCATATAAAATAGTATAAAAAGAAAATAAAATAATGAAATAGCCAATATGGAATAAAAAAAATTAAAAATACAAAAATAATTATAACACAAATAAAGAAAAAAAAGGTGATGTTTTACTATTGAGATGACCAACATGTATATATGCATCTATACTACAATATGCATTATGCATGTATATATGATGATTATTAGAATAATTATTTGTTGAAATTTGATTACTAATATTAAAATATAATGCAAAAGACGACAGACATGCTCATTCTCAAAGAATGCTAGATCCGCATTAATAGGCACACATATTCCTATGTCAATTATATAAAACACCAACTATAATATATATACATCTAATTAACATATAAAATCATACGTATATATTACATAATATTAATTAAAAACTAGTGTATAATGGGAAATAAGACAAAACTTGTTTTGGGTGGGTTGACTTCACTGGATGGTGTGGCTGCAGTGAATATTTTCAGAACAATATATATCACTACTAATTTTGTTAATTACGGATTAACCCCCCCAATTACTTTTATCTTTTTGCAACTCCTTAGAAATTGACAAATAATATTTTATTTAATTAAGTGAAACCCCTTTTATACATCCAAATGAACATTTAATAAGATACATCTAAAAGTGACTCTAAATAATTAATTAGGGTACGTACACACACAAATATTAAATGTTAAAAGAATCTTTAACGGGACAACAATTCAACTCACAATCGATTTTTTCCCCCCATTTTATGATGCAACTACATATTCAATATGTACTTCTAATGCAGTATTAATAGTAGTTGATAAACCAAACTTTCAATTTAATCCACCAATAATATTAGAAATCAAAAACAAATAAATGAAGTAGTTGATCATACTTGATATTTTTTTGTATCACCACGAATCACATATGGATAACATTTAATTATCATAATGTCTTATTTAGTTGAAAGGATGATTAATTAATTAGGGCCAACCATTTTATCATCACTAGACTCAAGAAGCCTGTGATGTATAGATATAAAATGAACACCCAATAACATATATATAGTTGTTAAAGAAGAAGAACAATATGATAATTAAACATGTAAACTCTAATACTTTATGACTTTTTTTCTCTCTCTTTCAGAGCTTCAATCACAGCCCCAAAATACCATGCCAGCACACGTGAGGAGTTTTCAAAAGCATTCGATCATTAAGTTCTTGTTGCTTTTATAATTAGTAGGAAATTTATGCTATAAAACACAATGTTTTTACTATTTTTTATATAATCAGCCCATCGAAAAAATACATGGTCGAAAACATATCTCACTAAAATAGCGAGAAGCTTTCAAGATTTTCCGAATGAAAATATTTTTATTTTGGGGTTTCTCATTTAGTGTCCAATACATGCATTAGAATTTGATTATTCTAAGTTCACACGCTCGCTAAATTCCCTTTTGGAGTTAGCTCTTCCTATCGAGGATTTTTTTATGCCTAAAACTAAACTTAAGATATCTGGTTAACGATGAATAATCACATTTATAAATGGTCTAACAATATTATTTTATTTTTATAATGATTCGATCAAAATATATGGGTGAATATTTTTTATGGGAAATATCAGCGGAGAAATGGTAAATATTTAGTAGCATTGGTTGTTAAGTACAAATTATGCATCATAGAATTTTAGAAAATTCCTGAAATTAGATGATTACGTTGAGAATTGGATTTGGATGAGAATTTGTTTCAATTTCATTTTTAAAAAAGTAGAATGAAATATATATATATATATATATGCTGATCATATTTAAATATAATTACAAGAAAAAAAGAAACTTCTGAAACAATTTATATTTCTTATTTAAATTGTGTTTATTTTGTTTTACATATCTAACCTTTTGTTCATATTGATTTTCCTTTAAATATTGAGTTCACATATGTTTTCATTCAACTATATTATTTGTACGTATACATATCCGGCTACATCTAATTTTACGTTCTTTTTCAACAATTGACTTATCCTATATATAATTAATCTTTAGTTTTTGAGATTCAAACCTAATATTGCATAATGCCTATATATATATATATATTAGGTATTTGCTGAGTCATTCCATAATTTCCAACTAATTGAACCACGTAGCCAACTATGACACTGATTTTATTCCTTCCTACTTGAAACCCCAAATTAAGTATTTTATCATACTATTCATGTTTAATGTTGTTTAGTATTAGGTCTTGAGAATAAGTATATTAATGACGAAAATCAGTGACAAAATTATATAACATAATTAAATAAAAGATTAGGGGTAGGATAGGAACAAAGCCCGTGATTCCCGACGCAAAGGAAGCTGCAAACAACAAATTTATCCTTTTCATTTCTTTATTATATATAGAGATCAACATTGTGTCAGCAATATAAGATAATACATTTGTATACCAATATTAAGTAAAACATATATTTATGGTAAATAAACTTAGCTGAAATGCTTTAACAAGAATAATAGAAAAGAGACTAGACTCTCATTGATCTTGAGCTGAAAGGCTAAGGATTACATTAGTATAACCTCTTATATATTTATAACACCTAATTACACACTAATCTAATGTAACTAACTAACTATTACATAGTTTGTTATAACAGAATGACTAAACTACCCTTCGAGTAGGAATGTGGTTGATTAGGTCTTGTTATAATCACACCTTTATAAAGTAACAATTAATCTCTATGCACTTATTCCTTTCATAATTTGTACAGCAATCTTGCTATCACTTTAATTCTTACCTCTTTTAACAAATATTTTTAATTATTTAAGTCCTACCTCTTTTAACAAATATTTTAAATTATTTAAGTCCTGCCTCTTTCAAGCATTTAAGCTACCCAAAAAAAAAAAAAATTAAATACCTCCCCTAAGCCAAGAAAGAGAAAATTACTCACTAAATACTCTTCTTTACAAGTCATTTTACTTGTAGTTGAGATTTACAAACATGTATCATTTTTTTAACAAAAAAATAAGAGGAAAGCCGAAATGATGGAGATATAATTTGGTTATATATTAAATAATAAGTTTGTCAAGTGGAAGGACAATGAAAATAAGATCAAATGGGACAAATTTAACAAAGAAAAATTTCCTTCTTTCCAATGTGAAAAGAGCAGCAAAATTTAGAAAATCTTCTAAATTTATATTGGAATCTTTTGGTATTGATGATATAATACTAAAAAATATTGGATAATTTCAATCTTTCAATCTCCATTCATGGTGGTCCCAAGGCTCAATTCTACAAAATTAATAAAATGTATTTTTGACTTATCGAGACGCAGTCAATAAATAAAAGACTATTTTATGTTGTTTTTATGGGTAAACAAAAGGTATGTTTTTCAACGACGTTGAAGGGCTTGAAGCAGTCCACACAATAATTTGGAAATAATTAACCATGCAATGTATATTTTTTCTCCTCCTTATTTTATATATAAATATAAAATAAATAATAAAAATGGTGTTTGACATTATTAATTTTACATATAGAGTTTGGAGAAAAAAAATTCAAAATTTTTGAAAAAAGAAACCTTTAGTTTTTAAAATGAAAAACTAAATTAGCATTTTTCGTGACAAGCTGCTTTTGTATAGATGCCTTACAACGTAGAGCTGGCCTCACATGATGTAATGTCTTTTTCTTCCTTTACGCAATTGGTTTCAAGCTTTAACTAGGCTTAATACATATTCCATTTACACATTCATATAAAATCATATATTTAATTGACCACTTCATTAATATCTATTAAATTATTTTAATTAGATACTTTTAATTCACATGTTTGAATATTTTTGTGTGTTAATTTTTATTTGTCTATAGCTAGTTAATTACGTAAAATATGTCATTTTCTTTAATCTTACATATTCGACTCAATAAGCCGTACAATTCTAAACATTTTCTACTTGAGATTATATAATATGTAAAATTAACGAAGATGACAAGTTTAATATGACTAACTTAGCTATATGATAAATAAATGAAAACACACAAACTTTTTTCTTTTACAAAATTAAATCGAAAATATCTGATTAGTACACTTTTATAATTAGGAGTTAATGAGATGTTCCTTCTGAAATATCCTGAAAAGTATATAGGCCATTTAATTATTGTATTATATCATGTGCATCATTCATGCATGAATCCTGCATGTAAGCATGGATACATATTAATAAATTAATAATAAGAGTAGATAAATTATTGCTGAGAGAAAGAGAGAGAGAGTCTTCCTTCCTATTTTGACAAGTCTCTAGGGTTTGATTTTCCCATTTGTTCTAATTAAGTAGAACTGTTGCTTTCATTTTTCTTTTCCTTTTCCAACCTCAATCTATGGAATTTTCCCCTTCTTAAGGTTAGGGGTTTAGATCTATGTTGTTTGTATGAAAACCTTATTCATCACTAGAGATGTTAAAATAACAAGAGAAACATTTAGCAAAAATGTTGGAGGATAGTGGTGAGACTGGATGCAATTCCAAGACAAGTTGTAATTTTGAGAATGAAGTACTTGAGGAGAACGACGCTTCGAGCAAGTTTAAGGATGGAGGAAGCTCAAGTGAGAGTACACTTGAAGAGAGTGAAAAGATCAAGCCATGTGTGAGACCTTATGTTCGATCCAAGATGGCTAGACTCCGATGGACTCCTGAACTCCATCTTCGTTTTGTTCATGCTGTGGAAAGACTTGGAGGACAAGATCGTAAGTATTAACCTTTGATTGTGAATGTTGTAACACAGTTTAAGCTTTTAGATGAGATGACCACAGTACAGTTTGTTCAATGTCTCATTTGCTTCTTTATTGTGTAGGAGCAACACCAAAGCTTGTTCTTCAAATGATGAACATCAAAGGACTTAGCATTGCTCATGTCAAGAGCCACTTGCAGGTAGATTAGAATTTCGACTATACAAAATCAATCACTTAACCAATAACATATATAATTACTTGCCCTTCTCTAATTAAGCCTTAAATTTTCCCTTTTGGATTTGTTTCTCATAGATGTTTAGAAGTAAGAAGACAGATGACCAAAGTCAAGGTATATATGTTGTTATTATTATACATCTTATTGTTATTTTTAAAGTTTAGGGCTGTCTTAGTAAAATCTTAATGAGTCCAACTTCTTTACCAAAGGGATTGGACATCATCACAAGCTTTTTATGGAAGGTGGAGATCCAAATATTCAATATGATCCAATTCCCTAGGTTCCCTACTTACCATCAGAGGCTCAATTCAACTTTTAGGTATGTAATCCATATGATTTTTCACATCTTTCTTGATTTCCTTTCTCTTTAGTTCCCTCATCTACTCTCTAATCTTTAAACTTAAATCTTTGAGACTTAACTCACTATGCTTTTGAAATTATGGATTAAAAAAAATTAATATTTGTAGAATTTTTTTTCTTAAATCTCTTTTTCTAGGTATGGAGATGCTTCTTGGAATTGTCATGGTAATTGGATGCCTAGCAACACAATGGGGCAAAGGGTTCCATCTTTCATCAATGAAAGATCCACTATACAAAGAAATGAAATTAAAGATGCAACTGGATCATCTATAGGAAGCCCTAGTGGTGAGCTCACTAGGTTGTTTCACATAGCTTCAAAAGCTCAAGCAAGAGCCTTTGTTGGAAATGGAATTACTTCTCCACCAAACTTGGAAAGAACCATAACTCCTTTAAAAAGGAAAGTTTCATATAGTGACCAAGTTGATTTGAATTTATATCTAGGGGTAAAGCCAAGGAATGAATTTTTGACACCAAATCTTGATGATAATGATAATGATAATGGGAGTAGCTTATCATTATCATTATCCTCACCATTGTCATATTCAAGGGCTACAAGGTTTATAGAAGATGCTAATATTGATGGTAAAACAGAAAACGCAAGAAGAGGGGCAAGTACTCTGGATCTGACTCTATGAATGAGGACAATATTCTAAGTGAGATCTTGAGGTACTTGTTTCATATTGTTGAATCTTGAAACATGTCTTTATAGCACCAAGTTTTAATGTAACATTACTAGTACTATATAGTACTCTTGGTTTTTGTTTGTCTCTATGTTATTGAATACAAGCAAAATATTATCTACTTCAATTCATTACTTGAGTGTGTGAAGTTTTAGCACAATGGTTTAGCCTCATGTGAATTCATATACTTTGCTCCATCTCAATTTATGTCAGAGAGTTAAAAATAAGCTATTTTTTTTTAACTATGCCTTTTAATATTTTTACTTATCAATTATTGAAACTGATAAAACTTTTTATACGGATCTCCAAATATTTAAACAGACAACCTTTAAAAATTCAAATCATATATGTGTGGAGTTCCAAACCTCATTGAAAAAGTTGAGATCTATCTTTATGTGTGTGATTATCCAAATTACTAGGATTGTTTTTTTTCCCCAAGAAAATGACAAAATGAACATGAGAAAAGGATGACCACGGGGAACTCTTTGGTAATTGTGTTTGGACATACTCTTAGGAGTGTGTAACAAATTAAACCCCTGTCCAACATCTTAAAATAAAGACTTATAAATAATGATATAAGTGGAGTTATATGCTTGTCTCATGAGGGTGTTTTAACTGGATTTACTCACTTCAGTAGTTGTTGCTTCTGATTTTCCTTTTAATCTAGTTAAGCTAAATATGTAAGAAAATTTTCATATTAACACTTGAACTGTGGTTAAACATTTGAACACGTGATAAAATATTTCCTATATTACAAGCTTGTGTGACTTATATTTTGGAAAAGATGTTTATGTGCGTGTATCCATTACATAAAATAAGTTGAAAATGATCTTCTAGTGTACATGATTTCCAAATTATCTGCTTCTATCAAAAACATTGGTTCATCCACTCTATTTTGCTTCCAAAACACTTGGTACCTGCACTCAACAAGTAGATGATTACTATTTGCCATCATATTAAAAAATTTCAGATGAGTCAGTGTGATTTCAAAAGGGAAATGAGTAAGTTAGTTATATACTCTTATGATATTGAAGATATTGTTGTTCCACTCTCATTCTTGGTGACCTGATGGAGTACTTCCAGGATATCAATGCACTAGATTGTTGGTTTAACAATCTATTTTCCAAATTATTGTGTTCAAATGATAAATTTTTTTACTACTTTATCTTGTTTGATGTATTAATACATTATAAGTTACTTGTATCCTTTATATTAAGGCTTTAAGTTTTATAATTAGAAACATCAATTTAAATTCAAAGTATCCATATGTTAATTATACAAGTAATACATTTTATGAATATAAAAAACATGTACAAAAAGAAAAAGACAAAAATACTATTTTATATTCAAAATTTTATGAATATAGTGTATTTTAAAGATATAAATACAACTTATTTTATTATGTGAATGAATCGCAATGCATTTAATATGTAATTATTAATTAGTACTTTAACAATGAAAATTTGAGTGATTTAGGGGCATAATAAAAGGTTAACAGTTAAGGTAACATATTTAGGGCATGGTAAGTTCGTATGTATCACTGTATAAATAATGAAAAATTAATACAATTATGCAGCTAGAATTTTACATAAAGTGTAGTCATTTTTAGTAAACATGTTTATAAGAACCCTCACATTAAGCAGATAAGCAAGCATATACTAGTTAATTAGTTCACAAAATACTTTTAGTTATAATTACGTGGCTTAGTGTTTTAGTTTGTACGATCACACGTTGTGTATAATTTGAAAATTTATATAGTTGTTTAAAATTTAGGTGCTTGTTTTTGTACAAATTTATTATTTCGAGTTTATGCAAAAATAGTTCAAGTACACAAATGCACTCATAAATTATTAAAAAGGCACCCGAGAATCATAAAAATAAGACTGTAGCTACAACCCATAAATTACAAACTATAGATATGGAGCATAATTACAATTTACTATAATAGCTATTTACGGAACTCCTAATTACCTTAAGCTAAAATTTCATATTTCGGGAAGCCCAAACACGTGCTTTATATTTCCCCAATCCCCTACCCATATACACCATCATACAACAAATTCTACCTTTTGAATCTCTTCATACAATCAATTTTGAATTCTCGCTCCCATTTTCGTCTTCACCAACTGTAAGGTAGATTTGACTGCAATTTTCTTCACTGTAAGTTAGACTTGATTGCAATGTATATACATTTTCTTCAGTTTCATCACTGTAAGTTAGATTTGATTGTCATTTGATGTAAAATTCTGATTGTTAATATTGTTGATTGCAATTTACATTGTACATTTCTATTGCTGAGTAAATAGGATTTTCAAAATTGAGTTGAAATTTGAATGTTAATTGCAGTTTATGTATATTGTGCGACCCTTAGTCTGATTGTTGTTGATGTTCGTGCCTATCTTATTCTGTACTTCTTGGCCTTATGAGTAATTAGGGTTTCATGAAATTCCAATTGTTATAGATGTCTCTTGTGAATATTATTGATGTTATTGCAGTTTACATATATTAACTTGTTCAGATTGTTGTTGATATGAGCTAATATCTTAATCTGTCCTACTTGTTTTAAGATGACCAAATTGCTATTGGTATAATTGTTTTATTGTGATCTACCGGGTATTAGTGAAATTGCAATTGTTATAGTTGTCAAAATTGCTATACACTCTTAATCTCTCCTTGTTTTAAAGATGACCAACTAAAAATCTCAATTCTACCATCTTGAAGTAGTTTGGTTTTCTGTTGACCATAAGAAATACCGTGTCGAGTTCAAGTATTTAAGATCCGAGACCTGTAGCTCCTAGTCCATTCCTTTTGCCTCCTGAGAACCAATAAAATAACTTTATATATCAGATGTCCTGTTCACTTAGAGGAGGAAAAGGTATCTTTATTTCTTTGTTTAACATGTTCCTATACATGCACTGTATATTGCAGATGTCTAGGCCTAGGAGGGGATATAATCAGAATGGGAAGAATAATAAGAGAGTCAAAAATAAGACAGCACAAGTGATACCAGAACCAAAAAATGATTGGCTATGCAGACAGTGTAACAATATGATAAGTGCAAAGATAACAACAGCACATGCACACAGAGATGCATGCAACAAAATCAAGGTGAGTATTTAGTGTAAATTCATGCATTAAAGTATCTGAATGATTATGTATTAATGTATTCAAATTTTGAAACAGGAGGCTCAAGTTAGGGTGGCTGCAAATGCAAGACAAGGAATTTACTGATCTATGCTACAAGATTTACTGTTTGAGAGATATCTGATGTGTCATATTCTGAAATAGACTCTTTTGTATGTGATTCTTGGCTTTGAGACTCAGGGTTCCCTGTATCTGTTTGATCCAAGACATAGTTCTTTGAATGTTTGACTGAGATATTTTGATAAAAGGAGTAGACAGATTGTCTAGACTGTACCTTTAATGTGACATTTTGATAAAAGGAGTTGACAGATTGTTTAGACTGATACCTTTAATGTGACATTTTGATAAAGGAGTTGACAGATTGTTTAGACTGATACCTTTAATGGGACAGATTGTTTAGTGTGAAGCGACTCAGGGTTCTCTGCATCTGTTTGATACAGGACATAGATCTTTGAATGTATGAGATTTTTTGCATGTTTGTTTGAGATTTTTTGATAAAGGAGTTGACAGATTGTTTAGACTGATACCTTTAATGTGACAGATTGTTTAGTGTGAAGCATCATTGAGACTGAGGGTTCTTTCTATCTGTTTGATACAGGACATAGATCTTTGAATGTTTGAGATTTTTTAATAAAGAAATTGACAGATTATTTAGTGTGATCCCTTTACTTGATTAATTCGTTCATTGACAGATCTTTAAATGTGATACATTTACTAATTAGTGTTGATACCTTTACTTAGCTAATTCGTTCATTGACAGATTTTTAAATGTGATACATTTACTAATTAGTGTTGATACCTTTACTTAGCTAATTCGTTCATTGACAGATTTTTATATGTGATACATTTACTTACTGTGACAGATTGTCTAGTGTCGTACATTTACTTAGCTAATTCATTCAAAACTCCCTCGTAGAAGGACTCCCACTTCAATTTCACCTCCCTAACCCCTATCTTAAAGGAAAGATGGTTGGTTATCTCCTGAAGGAATAGAACTCTTTCCAGAAGAGGTAAAGGCATTAGGCAATCTTTTTCTATCATAGATTGACTCCTATTCCCATTCTTATGTGTCAAAGCCACCCGTTTAGTGTGATACATTTACCTAATTCATTCATTGACAGATTTTTTAGTGTGATACATTTACTTTTCAACAGATTTTTAAATGTGATATCTGATAATAATTGACAGATTGTAGATGATTTTTTTAATGTGGTACATTTACCTGCATTTACTTTACTTAGATGTGAGTACCAATAATGTTTATTTAATGGGGTAAGAAAACATCTTGTTGGGATACAAAAAAATGATAAACAAGAAAGAGATCCAAGAATGAACATTTACAGACAAACATATATATGAAGAAAAAAAGAACATAAAAAAATTGATGATCAGTAAGGAGAGATCTTAGATAAAAGAAAAGGAGACCTAAGAAAGAACATTTACCAACAAAAATAACTTTTAATTTATCATAAACACAAAAATATTTGACAAACAAGAAAGGAGATCCAAGAATGAATACTTAAGAGAAAAATAACATGATTTATCATAAAAACAAAAAATGAACATGTTTCAACCACAAAAAAGAATGAAAATTGTAGATTGGCAATTGACATACCGTGTATTCTTCTTGAAAAACAAGGAAATCAAAATAATTTTGATGTGTTCTTCGATCTAGATCTATTATTCTTGTAAATCAATCTCCATCTTGATTATTCTTGTAAAACAAACAAGAAATCAAAATAATTTTGATGTTCTAATCTGTTTGGAGAGAAAAGAGGAATATTTTTTTTTGGGTATGATGAAGAAATTAGGTTACAAAGTACAACTAGTTTGTGGCTTGATTGTACTTCGGTTCTCAACTTTAAATTATATACTTCATGTGTTAGATTTTATTTATTTTGCAGTCCTTTTCTTTCTCTAACAAATTAACTTGAGCCCCTCCTCGAATAGATAAATAAATATTTTAAAACAAATTTGGTAGGTGTTGCCGTTAATTTTTCGAAATTGGTCAAAATTATTTACCTTTTACCTTCTTTGATGGGATCCGTTTCCCTGTACACATCTTAAAAGTAATATTATTGCATTTTTCTTTAATAAACAATATTAGTATTTAATATAAAAATAGAATAGCACATATCTCTTGATTTTTTCAAATTAAAAAATATTGTTGAATAATTTACCATTATTCCTATAATAGACAACAATTTTTATTATATTAAGTAGGTAAAAATGGATGAAAAAAAGTCCTATTTTATCGGATGAAAATTGCAGTTTCGTCAATATTAATATTGGCTTTTCTTTTAAGTTTAGGATCCAAAAACAAAAAGGAGGCAAAATTGACCATCTCCAATCCTATTCTATTTTATTCTCTATTTTCTATATTTACAGGGTAAAATAGAGGGAGAAATTTAAATAGTATTCTTCAATTCATTACTATCTATTTCACCTTTTAAATATTATATTATTATTTTTAGTTTTTATATAAGGTTATTAATTAAATAGCTAATATATGCAATTTAGTATCTTTTATGAAGAAAACTTACCCCAGAACACGAACCAGGTTCGTGTAAATTGCTTTTAAGTAAAGACAGAATAGAAACACAAGCACTTATTGAATTAAAAATCTTCCTCACTCAAGGAAGGAAAAACCTCGTTTTATTAGTTCAACTATAAGATTTTGTGATTACAACTCAATAATCAAAAGTCTTATCTCTACTACTCCCTCGATTGACTCCAATCGATCTCTCCAAAAGGTCAAACCCACCTTTTGTTACAACTCTTACTAACACTCAACCCTACAAAGAGCCAAACCCACCCTTTGTATAATAAACTGTAAATTACAATTAAGAACAAAAACAAGACAAATAGTTCTACACGATAAAACCTTCTTACTCAAAATGTTTTAAAC